GGTTCCTTTCCCCCGGCAAGTCAATAGTGGATACATAGGAAACACACGCACGCTCCCCCCCATTATGGCTAGGAGGCCCAAGTGACGTCATTGAATACTTCCTTGAGGAAGGTTTTACCACCCCTCACCCCTGCCTAAGTTAACCTGCACTATCTCCGTTTGCCAAAACATATAAACCCAGTTCGTATCTTACTATCCGTATCCTATTTCCTTGAACCCTACAATTCCCTTCACTTATCCTTCCTTGCCTTGCCTCACTTTAATTCTTATGGAATCCTAAGTTCCTGTGTCAACAGATGATCATCCATAGTGTCCTCCTATCGCTCTTCTTTAAACCAATGGAAGATAAGTCTCTCTCCTTCTACGGTCGCGACTTTGCCTTGGGCTTGTAGCCTTTTCTGGAATTTGGTTAGAATATCCTTTGCCTTTTCTGGGTTAAGAGCCACTTGCTTCTTTGTCCTAATCCATAACACCCTAATCTCTGTCTCCAACAGGCTATAGAGAGTTGCCTTGGCTTCCACTCTAGTCATCAGAATCTTGCCCACCACCTACTCACATCTTCGCTTCCATATTGTCCATAAAGTGTACTGTCTCAGTAGTCGAAAGATAAATTTATGGCCAGCCCGCCATTCCTTAGGCACCTCGCTTCCTATCAATATTAATTTCCTGTTTCGCGGGAAGGGGACGTCCGTAGTATGTGTCCACAATGAACGAGCTATGAACCAGAGATGATCTGCTTCCGGGCAATGGAGCAAACAATGGATCAGAGTTTCCTGAACGCATGTCATACACATAACACAGTCTTGATCTAACTCATTCCTATTGAGCCTGCTTCGCTTATCGAACAGCCAGACATTGACTGGGAGTGCTACATGATAGATGAGCCACTGCATGCTCCTGACCTTGGCCAATCTGATACTGTGCAAAGATGACCATGGTAACCTTTCTACTTGTTCCCTTGGTATATTCAGTCTCTTTTCCCATCTTATCGACAAAGTCTGCTCCAAATGGCATGATCTCACCCTCAGACGGTAGCCCAATTTAGTGGTGTAATGAAGTTTATTGATTCTCCTGCTTACTTTGGACGAGCTTCCCCTGATGCTCCATGCCCACTCTGCTGGATCAATTTCCAGGTCCCGAATAGATGTCAGTGACTCAAATATCGTAAAATCTTCATTCTCAACCACTCTGACCTTTCTTAAGATGGTTTTCTTAATGGCGATCGGAACTCTGGAATCTTTATCCAACATACTGACCGTGACTCCTAGAGATAGTATTGTGATTATATCTGCTTCCAACCACTATTTAGAAGGTCCGACCTCCTGTCTTATGCGAAAGGCTGCCTCTGGCTCATTAGTAGTGACTATTGTTGCCCAATCCCCACATCACCATTTGTCTGGTTCCTTCAATGTTCTTGTCCACTCATCCGAGATGGAGAGAAGAATGTCATTCAAATTTTCAATAAGTCTATGACAGCCCTTCATTTCCTCCCTCAGTTCCCTACCTGTTTTCCATCTCCCCCTTGCCATACTCCATGCTCTAACCACTTCCCCCGCTTGGCGTCCTTCGCTGTTAATGTTCTAGGTCTTCCTTGAGAGTCTTTCAACCATGGATTACAAAATAACGGCTGTCTAAGCACTTCATCCTTCGTCTGAGGTTGTCTGACTCTTGTCGGGAAGACCTCTGCCCAGATTTTGAGCAATTGAGCCCAGTATGTACCTCTAGTTGCATAATCCTCTGCTAATTGTTCCCCAGTTCTATCCTTTTTGGTCCAACCCTTGCAGAATAGCCAGAATGTACCCTTCATATTGGAAGGCGTTTTATATTTGGCCATTTGTCGTATGTGGTCAAGTACCAATGGATGTCAGTGAGGTTGTGTTAACAACTTAATGATCCACTTAGTTTGGAGTAATCTTATCTGCTGTCCCGGATCCAAGACTCCCAGCCCTCCCCTGTCTCTTGGTTGAATAACTTGGTTCCATGATACCCTTGATATAAAGTTGGGTCTTGTTGGATTTGCTGTCCACAAATATGTTGTCGCCACCTTCCTCAGTTTTTGTAGTATATATGCAGGTGGTGACCATATTGTTCCAACATACCATAACATAGAGAAGATTGAAGCATTTATGACTAGTGCCCTTCCGAACAGTGAGATATTTATTTCTGACCACGCCGCCATCTTGAATAGCATTTTTGTCATGTGTTCAGGTGCCATGGAGTGATGGGGACCCGTGTCCGCCATTCTGATCCCTAAGTATTTCATTGTCTGATCTGGCGGTAACCAAGTCATCCCCCCATAATTTTGTGGCTGATATTGTGGTTGTTGGTCATCATATGATAGCCACCACCCCAACGTCTTCGGCCAATTGATTCTCATCTCCGATGCCAACTGGAATGCCGCCATTGCTCTCGTAAGGGCTTGAAATGAAGAGTCCGTTGCTCTGATTAGTACCGTCAGATCATCCGCAAATAATATTGTTGTTGGCAAATGTGTGACACGTCCCTGCTGATCCGGTTCAGCAATCAGACGGTCTATTGAAGGGTTTTTCCAAAGGAACGAGGCAATAACTTCCATTATAAACAAGAAAATTGGAGCCGCTAAAGGGTCCCCTTGCCTGGCCGCCCTCGTCATTTTATACCTATCTGACAAGTGGCCATTAACTTGGACTTGTCCGTGTGCATCATTATAAAGTACACGAATCCATTTACAGAAGTTAGGGCCCACTCCCATCTTCTCCATACATTGCTGTAGAAAGCTCCAGTTGACTTGATCGTACGCTTTTTCGAAGTCAAAGAAGAGGATCGCTGCGTTTATCCTCTTATTTGTAATGTACCTTACTGATTGTGATAAAGTCATGACATTATCTAATATAAATCTTCCCGGAATGAAACTTGTTTGATCTAGGTGGAAACAACCTTCTATAACCTTCCTGAGGCGATTAGCCAGTGCCTTAGCCACTATCTTGTGAGTGAGGGTCAACAGTGTAATTGGTCTGTAATTTTTGATATCCCTAGGGTCTCCCTTCTTATATTGCAGAGTAACGATGCCAGTCGCTGACTCTACCCCCAAGCCCTCTCTCTGTCCGGCTTGATTGAGAAAAAAATCGTACTCTTCTCCTAAGATAGGCCAATACTCCACCAAAAATTCCTTGCTCAATCCATCCTTACCCGGCGACTTGTTAGGAGGCATAGAGTAAAGGGCTTCCCTTAATTCCTCCTTAGAAAGAGGGGCGTCCAATTTTTTCGCTTGCTCCCTCTTGACCGTACGATCTAAGTATGATAGAAACTTGTTTCTGACTTTCTTCAGCTGATGAGACGTATGGTCACCTTCCCTTGAAGTGTATAATGCACTGTAGAAGTCATATGCCACCGAAAGCATCCCTTCCGGATTCGAAACCAATTCTTGCGGGCCTTCCAACTGTTCTATTAGCTTGTTTCTTCCTCTTGCTTTGATCTTTTGAAAGAACTACTTTGTCATTCTTTCTCCCTCCTCCCATTCTTTCACTCTCGCCCTCATTTGCAGACCCCTAGCCCTCCATCTCTCCCAGTCACCCTATTCGTTTCTTGCTACCTCTATTATTCTCTCGTATATCTCTGATCCTGGGTTATTAATTAAATTCCTTCCTGCTATATGTAATGCCCCTTGCAGTTCGATTTTTCTTGCCTCCCGTCTTGCTGCCAATTGTCTGGTTACTGCTGACGTTGTTGCTGACAAGGCTTCTATAAGGTCCACGAATGATTTTGTATCCGGATTGTGTGTTAGGCACACTTGCAGAATAGCTTCTCTCGACTCCTTAGTTCTTAATAACGAATTATTAACCTTATAGAAACTTCTTCCTATGTTAACATGTTTGTCCATAATGAAGTTAAGAAATATGGGTTTATGATCTAGGCACGAACAGTATGGTAAGCCTCCTACTCCCACCGGGTGTATTGTTCCCACTGTATCTTGTGATATGAGGAAGTAGTCTATCCCATAATGAAGTTAAGAAATATGGGTTTATGATCTAGGCACGAACAATATGGTAAGTCTCCTACTCCCACCGGGTGTATTGTTCCTACTATGTCTTGTGATATGAGGAAGTAGTCTATCCTTGATGCTGAGATATGTTGACTACGATTCCTTTTGTAATACGTGAACTGTTTCCCTTTCGGCTGTTGAAGTCTAAGTGGGTCTACCAGATCTCTAGACGTCATAAGGTTATGAATAGGTAAAGCTTCGTCCCACATCACTCCTTCCCCTACCCCTGACCTTCCACCTAGCAGCCTGTCCCTACTAGGATCTAAAGTAGCATTCCAATGCCCTGACAATATGAGATGTCTTGACGGGTCTATATTGTTTTTTAGCATATCTATTATCTCCAACCGCTGATGTCCTCCGTTAGGACAATAGACTGTAATGAGCGTGAACTGCTCATTCTGATAGGTAAAATTGAGCTTTATCCATCTACCTGCGTCTTCATCTAGAATGACATCCTGTACTATTATTCTATCTGCAACCTGCGATCTTTTATTGAGTAAAACTACTACTCTCACTGAATGTGACCTGCCCGCTACCGCCCAAAAGTTTGTCTTAACCCACCTTAGTTGTCTCACTATAAATTGTTGAATGTTCTGATGCTCTGACGAATCCGTAAGGTGAGTTTCCTGCAGGCGTAAGAATTCTGGAGGTGTCTTCCCAAACCAGTTTGAGTACCTCATTACATTGTCCCACTTGTCTTTGTTTTCCAAAATCAGTACCATCCCATTGATGTTCCAAGACATGATCCTAAGGTCTGGCTCCCTACGTTTTGAAGTATCCCCTGTTCTTCTACGTTTATACACTCCCTCTCTCAATCTCCCCTCCATCATCTATGATGTCCTTTTTGACCCTTTTCGAATTTCCTACTCAGGATCCTACCCGGGTCCAGTCTACTGTTGTAGCCAGGATCTCTATCTTTCCATCGATGTCGTCCGGCTGCCATGCAAACACATCACTTTTGGTGACTATGGCCGCTCACCTTGCCACCCATTCTGCCGCCTCTGACCCCCCAGCAGTCCATACGGAATCGTCTCCACCACTTGCCATGACATCCAGATCAATCCCTCAGCCAGTACTGCCTTTTCCTGCAGCTTGATCATGACTGGCCTATAGTCCACCATGTGTGTTGTACCCGCCATGTCTTCCCATTCTTCCCTATCATGCTTGAGAACGTGCTTAATCCACTGTGCTAGTGTCTCCGGATCCTCCTCTTCTTCCTCCTCCCATTCCTCCTCCCCCTTATCGTTGTCCCCATCCAAATCTGTATCTGAATCCTGTGATGTTTTCCCTGCTCCTTCATCCTCCTCCCCCCCCGAGTCCTCTGTTGTGTTTTCCATATCACCAAAAGGTGATCTATTTGTAGAGCTAGTTCGGTCTGTTGAGGGCCCATGTTCTGTTCGGTGATCCGTTGAAGCTGATGTTGACGTGTCATCTGAAGAGGCTGTAATTTCCATTTCTTCCCCTTGAGATCCTTGCTCCCCTTTGCCTTCTTCCTCGATATCTTCCTTGTGCTCCTGTTCCCCCTGTGTGGAAGCTTCATCTGATCCCTTCCCTGAATGTGCCCGCTTAGGTCCTCGGTATGAGCTATCTCCTTTCACTGATTCCTTGTCACTGATTTTCCTCTTAAGAGAAGCTGATGATTCTCCCCCCTTCCCTTCCCCTTCAGTGACCCTGTCTTCATCATCTGCTTTCGTCTCTTCCTCTGTCGTTCCCTTACTCTTTGAACCATTCTTACTTCGCTGCACACCATCGTCCCTCCTTTCCTCTAAACTTCCCTCTGCTTCTGACTTTTGTGCCTCCTCTCTTGCTCTTTTATTTTCCAAGAAGGCCAGCTCCGCTGCTTGGCCCACCTTGTGTAGCTCTGCCATGGTCTGTAGTCTCTGCCTGTCATCCAGCAATGAGGCGCCATCTATCATGGGCTTATTGATAAAGCCCACCTCTCTGTCCACCGTCCTCTTTGCACCTGTTTGCCTCCATCTACTGTCATATGGAGGGTAGATGTCCGGTTTCACCATTGGTGCGCTGCGAAGAACCCGCACCCATCGTGGAATGTCCAAGTTGTCATCGAAGATCCAGCCCCTGTATTGTGCTGAATTGATGAACCATACTCCTGGTTTGTTGTCTGATTTTCACGCAAATGCTCGGGAACCTTTTAAAAGAAATTACCGGCTTGTCTTTAATGATTGGACTACTGTTGATCCCTCTATCCCTCTAAAGCCCATGTCTGAATTTCCTGATTTCTTTCCCCCCCCAAGTAATTGTCTCGTGCCTGTTGCTTGGTTTGGATAGACATCTCCAGAGTTGTAAGGGGGAGAGTTATTTGATATAGGCTCGATGGAGATAACTGGTAATGTGCTTGGTAGTCAAGATTATTTGGCGCCCATTAAGGGTGAAGAGGCACTAAGCTAGATTTGTTGGCTCATATTTTGTTCTCAACAGGTTCCTTTAGGTTACTTCCGGGTAGACTGTGAGGACCCCGGCCTCAATCTTTATATTGGTTATATCAGCCTCGGGCACTGGGCCCGTTTAAAAAAAAAAAAAAAAAAAAAAAAAAAAAAAAAGGTTTGTTGTCTGATTCGACAAGCATTGATTGTTTTAATTGTGGCAGACTACCTCCTGACCCCGACCCAGACTGCGGACAATGCATCCCCAAGTGTCCCCTGCCTCTGCACTTAAAGCAAAACGGATTAGTTTTTGTGGATATAAAGACAATAATTCTTTATGTCCGTCTGCGAAAAAATCCAGACCTCTGGGAACTTTGGCGGAGCTCCCGACTTAACCTCCAAATATACCACCCATGAATCATGATTCAGAGCTAAAAAGTCCGGATTAGCAGGGAGCCACTCTATGATTGGATTATTTGGAAATTCCTCCGTCAGACGTTGTTGTACAAAGCTATGCATACCCTCCGACAGGTTGTCAAATTGTACCCAAAAATGATCTCTAAGCATATACTGCCTGTGTCTCGATGCTTCCGCCGATGGTGGCTGCAGAGGCTTTCATCCTTGAATAGTTACCACAGACCCATGACATTTGAGAGAACCGAGGGATAATAAAAACTGCGCGTACGCTGGATCAACACAAACTATCATTACCATAAATCTTCCCCTTTTGTGATATGACACCTCCGGTTCCATGCCTGGGATGTGCTCGAGTCCTCTGGGCCTCTTTATCACCCACTTTCTTTTTTCATTGAGAGAGAGTTATTTGGGTGAAGACGGCAGTCAAGGATCTCATCGGTGCACCACAGTCTGCAGATAGATACAGAGGACGTCAGTCTGCCATCAAATGTCAAAAGTACACCATCAGGCTAACTAAGGCAGGGGTGAGGGGTGGTACATCCTTCGTTCGGGAAGTAATCAATGCCGTCCACTCGGGCCTCTCAACCATAATGGGGAGGAGCATGTGTGAGTATTTCTTGTAATCTCTTCTGTGGATAGAAGCCGGACTGATGTCCCCAAGAATGGATATGGAACCAGGCCCATAAGGACCCGTTGAAAAAAAAAAAAAAAAAACTCACCGCACAAGTATGTCTACGACTCTATGGGCACCAGATAGGAGCCCCCGAGCACTCGAGAAGGATAAGGGACATATTTAGTACAAGGGCCTCTGAGGAAACAGTGAGCAGGTTTATAGGAAGGAGTCTATAGACAAGCAAGCCTACAGAGTTAAAGGCTAAATCATGGTACTTCTCTAGCCTTCCGAGCCCACGTGACAGGCTAGTAGCTGAGAGGAGCAACTACAAGACAGACTCACCAATTGGCGTCACAGACATAAGACCAGTAGAACTAAGGACCCTGGAGTCATGCAAGTTTAGGGTAAGTCAATGAGGATAACTTAGGCAGGCGTGAGGGGTGGCATATCCTTCCTGCGGGAACGCCGGGAAGTAATCAATGAAGTAATCAATGCCGTCCACTCGGGCCTTCCAGCCTTAATGGGGAGGAACGTAGAGTGAGTAAATGTTGTATTCCTTTGACTTGATGGTGGAATAGGAACCGGACTGATGCTTTCCAGAATGGACATGGAGCCAGAGCTATAACGTTCTCTCTTTTCTTTTTTTTTTTTTTTTTTTTGAAAAAAAGCAAGGAGACAACGGATGATTTGCACATTATATTAGTAATAATATTACGCCTAGAAGAAGCTAGCTGCTCAGTCCTCAGACAAGTCTTTCCCAGTTTCAGAGAAATTCAGACTACATTTGGGACATGCAAGGGTTTATGCCTCGACATAGGGCCCTGCAGCAGGCACGTGCCCACCCTAAGTGAAGGCGGGGCCCCTGAATCTCAATGCGCCCTGAACTCCTCAATTTTTGCAAATCTTGGTCGGTGCCAGACAGTTGCCACGCACCAGTTGGTTACAATCCGCCTTGTTCGTAAGAATCCAAAATATTTGTGAGCCTTCCAGGCTCTTCCAGCAACGTGGTTGAAGCAGGGAGCATTGGCACGTTTGTGCCTGGGTGGTTGGGCATGCCTAACCAATTCGGTCCCAGGCCACTGTCTAAATCGGGCCTGGGTGCAGACACTTTGGCCGAGACTGAAGCTACTGGAAAGTCGGTCTCGCCTGGGCGTAGCAAAGGCAAGTGCCCGCCTCAGGGTGCAGGGCTGGGCATTCGGGCACTTGCACTTGCAGGCGGCAGCGCTGCTGGAGCTTAGACTCGCGGGCTGCTTGCTGCGCTAGCACGAGGTGCGGGCGCACGCGGGCGTCGAGAGGATACATGGCACTGCTGAGGGCAGCGCCATAGCCCAGCCTTCATAGCCAGGCTGGGGCTTGGACACAGTCAGCGGCTGGTGGTGGTCTTCGTGTATGGGAAGGAAGACGTGGGTGATGAAGATAAGGGTGAGAGAGATAGAGAGATGAGGTTGATATGTGAGGGCACGTACCTGGTTGTGGCGATGGTCTACAAGGTCGACATCTTCATGCACTGCGGTTGCTGCTGCTGATGTCAACGGAATGCATTGTCAATTTGTAGGCTGCTAGTAGCTGTGTAGAAGTAGTCTGGACGCTGAGCGCCAAGTAGGAGAAAGGGCTCTGGATACATATGTTGGTGGTGGGGAAATTATGCTCTCATTGACATTCGGATTTGGTGCTTTGGTTCTCCGTTGGTGGAATATCAGTGCATTTCTGCTTTCTGGACAGTGTTGGACTTTCTGGCTTTCAATGTGAAATTGCATTCTGGAATTCTGTCATTTCTCTATACCGCATTTTCCTTGTAGAAAAATCGCCTCTCTCAAATCGTAACGGAAAATATCTTAACAGCAAGGAAACATCACGATAAGCTGAGATGATGCACAAATCATGATGTCAGCTTTTGCAAAGCTAGCCTCCAGGCAGTTGAGCATTCATTATTGCGGATAGGCTGAGATTCCACTTGCATAGATTAAGGAATTCTGCAATCATTCTTGCCTTCTATCTTCATCGTCTAATGTCAGCGTCTCTTAAACTTTGCTAGTAGAATCTCAGCCATAGATAGGATGGGAGACCCAGACCTCTCGGAAGAAAGATGACTCAGTTCAATCATCATGGCATATTGACTAGGAGACAAAGGTGGTGCAGGAAAGGAAGAAATGTCGGACCACCTACAACACACATGTTCCCAATCATCTGACTTCGACGCCAGTTCCGCTATGTTCATCACCTCCACGACCATCTTGTCATCATGCCCCTATTCCCACTCAGCACAAATACAACGCAATGATATTCAGAAGAGGAAATGGAGAGATACATGGAGGCAAGGAGGCGGGGGGGGGGGTGAATCATAGGCTCGAGAGCAATGAAGATATTAATTGAAAATAAAAACAGAAAAGAAAAGAAACATGAATCAAATCCCTGCTGGCCACAAACCCTCCAAAATCAAAAGCTCCTCTCTCTTAGAATCAACCATGGCTACGATCCGGACCACCGGACAGGGATCCGGACTGTCCGTGGTCCGGGGTCCCCGGGGTCCGGATCTCGGTCCGGATGTGTGGGCCCCAGCCCAACGGGCAAATGTTTTTTGGGCGGTCCAGGGTGTTTGTTCACGCCCTGGGCTGCCCGAAAAAAACGGTGCCTCATTTTTTACTGCCCTCACCAACGATCCGGAAGGCCGGGAAAGTCTACGAGGTTTTTTTTTTTTTTTTTTTTTTTTTTTTTTTTAACTGTTGGGGGGGGGGGAGTTCGAGGCCGCTACTTTCGCCGTCCTCCTCCTCCTCCTCCTCCTACACACACACACACACACACACACACACACACACTTCTCATCATCCTCATCCTCCTCCTCCTCCTTGTCAACCCCACTGTCCTTTTCTTTCTCCCTGTCCTCCTCACCGTCGTTGTCTACTCCGCCATCCTTTCTGTCACTGCCATTCTCCTCCTCCTCTTCTTCCTCCTCCTCCTTGATCGTGTCAACTCCACCCTGTTTTCCCGTCATTGTCGTCATCGTTGCCGTCCTCCTCCTCCTCCTCCTCCTCCTCCTCGCCAACTTCGGCCTCCTCTGTCCTCCTCCTCCTCCTCTCCTTGTCTTCCTCCTCGTCTCCTCCTCCTCCTCTCCTTGTCTTCCTCCTCATCTCCTCCCCCTCCTCCTCCTCCTCCTCCTCCTCCTCCTTTTTGGGTTATTTATTTTTTATTTGGTCCATATCCCGATTAATGTGTGTCATCTTGGCGCAGGGGCCATGCTAATCTTGCCTTTGGGACATTTGTTAAAATTGGAAGGAGAAGATTAGCATGACCCCTGCACATGGATGACACACACAAATTGAGAAACAGTCCCAAAAAAGGAAGAGGAGGAGGATGAGAAAGAAAATGAGTCCCGAGTTGAGAAGGACAAGGAGGAGGAGGGGGAGTAGGATGAGAACTAGAGGAGGACGAGATAGGAGGCGGTGTTCATGACAACGAGTAGGAGTAGAGGCGTGCTTTTTTTTTTTTTGGGACAATATAGGGGATCTGGACCAGGGATCCGGACCGGTCGGGATATTCCAGAATATTCCAGTTTTCCGGAAGTCCGGATGGGCCCGGGAGGTCCGGGGTCCGGTCCGGCGTAGCTATGGAATCAATAAAGACATCAAACTTACCAGCAGGTGATGCGCCCCACCAATAGAAAGGAGCCATGTCTTTGCGAAAGTAAATAAATAAATAAATATTAAATACATAAAATTCATAAATAAATCAATAATACACATGCGAGGAATTATCCC